AGAGTTCTGACTGTGCCAATCTGGCTATATGATTTTGAGCAAATCAAATCTTCTTTGGGCTCTAGTTTTCCCATCTGAAAAATTAAAAGATTGAGCCATTTGATTTCTAATATCCTTTTTGGACTACCAGTGATATCTCTCTTCTCTCTGTCTCTCTCCCTCTCCCTCTCCCTCTCCCTCTCCCTTTCCCTTTCTCTCCTGCTTTTCTTTTCTCCCTTCTATCCCACGTGTATATGTAAAGTAGAAAGATATTTGTTGGTGAGGAAATTGAACAATAATGGCTCACAGTTGAAATTCTTCACACAGCCCAGGCAGACCCTAGTAGTGCAACAGCAGAAATATTTACCCAGAAAGATCAGTGGTTTGCAAATGGAGGGCATGGGGAATCTCTCCAAATGCCCAAAGAACTCTTATTCAACAGCAGGGACAGCTGGTAATGGATGGTTTAACAAGTAAGCTTGGGTGGAAACTTCCTCTTGGGTTACATGTTGAACATTGAGAACATTGAACAAATAAGGTATTGAAGGAATTGTCACAAGATGTTAAGCTTCCTTTAATAAGTTATGGTACAGTCAACACAGCCATCCCTTAAATGCTTGTAACAAATCCCCATAAAGGAGACACAGACAATATGCCCTTGTGTATGGCATTTTCAGATCTAGTTTGGGGCATTCCCTGGTAAGGTTGTAGCAGAGACTCTGATCTTATAAAATACTTCCTTTGGTTTTATAAATGAATCTACTCTATGATGTGGGTCCACACTTTATAGCACGGTTCTATAAAATTCTGGGCTTGTGAAGAAACATATAGTCAGAACCCCAATGTTTGAAGAAATGAAGCCAGAGATCTTGATAAAAATACCTGTCTGATGTCATTTGGCCCTTTTGCCATGTCTGTTTGGAGATTTCTCCTTGATTATACAAGTCTCCCCCCCACCCCCACCCTGCGCCTTAGATTTATAAAACAAATACATTCTCTATTGTTGGATTGTGGGATTGTGCAAATTGGACTCAAGTCTTGTCACCATGTCTCAGTGAGGCCTGATAACTTGACTCTGCGAGCTCCTATGCATGATTCTTTTGTGTGCATCACAGAAACATTGAAATATACCCTGCCTTATAAAAGAACATGAGTTCCTTTTAAGAATGATATTCTCACTTGGTGTCAGAGAGATATCCCCATGTTTCCATTGGCGATGCGATATGGAATATAATGCTTAATGTACTTCCTGTGTGTGGCAACTCCTGAATGCATTCCTGGCAGAGCAACCGATTCAGTGACTGGCTTTGTGGTGTGGTTGGTTGTTGCTAAGGGGCTACTGTTGTAATCTTTTCTACGTATACTTCTTCATTGGCACGGGATGAAGCAAAACACATGCTACAATTCTTACATGTCATTTATGCCATAAATCTCATTGTTAAAAGGTAAAGCTTCTAAATTAAAAAAAAAATGTAATGCTTCTAATGGATTTCATTCATGCTTTTGAGATAATGGCACTTATTTTTATATTTATCTCCTGAGAAGCTGTTACCTGATTCCTTCTCTAACTCACTACCATCCTAATGTGCATTTCACTAGGATGTGGTTGTCTTGGAATGACATCATGTGCTTGGGCTCTTATACTTCTTCCTTTGGGGGATGGTGGCGACCTGGCATGGGTCAAGAACTACTTTTTCATCTTCACTTGATGTCTGTAACTCATATCCTGTCCACTGGAGAAGTCATTAATGCTTTTGTATCCTTCAGTTCACATGCCGCTTGCTAAGGAAAGGAGCATGAATGAACTATACCTGCTAAAACATTCTGTGTTTATGCAACTTCCTCGATACCAGGAAGATGTTTTCATTGTCTTATTCAGATAAAAAAAAAAAGTACATTTTTTAAAAAAATCAGTGTATCCCTGGTCAGATGTCCACTAACACTTTGACAATTGCTTGAACTGCATGGTCACACCAGTCTCAGCCCACGACACCCATCCAGATCAGAGAACGACAACACCGAGTGAAGAGGACAGTTCCTGGACTTATTTTGGGGACCCAATCTCACATCCAATGGGACGAGGTCATCAGTTGTCTTATTCAGATAAAAAAAAAAAGTACATTTTTTAAAAAAATCAGTGTATCCCTGGTCAGATGTCCACTAACACTTTGACAATTGCTTGAACTGCATGGTCACACCAGTCTCAGCCCACGACACCCATCCAGATCAGAGAACGACATCGAGTGAAGAGGACAGTTCCCGGACTTATTTTTGGGATCCAATTTCACATCCAATGGGACGAGGTCATCAAACAGAAAGCAGAATAGGTAATCTGAACCTTTTTGTA